ATTTTAACTACATGTGCTTCATATTTCTAAACTCCCACCACAACTCTGCTGTAACTCTGTGTTTATGCACACGGGAGGAGAAATAAATGACCAGACCTTACACTTTGTCACCACTGCCAGTGTGCGGTAAAGGATATATAAAAGATTTGTCTTTCTGTGTTTATTTCCGTCTCTCTTGATGTATCAGCTAATAGTTTTCCATCTAAAAGTCTCAGTGATGGGTTTAGAGTGTGGACCCTCCACGTGAATAGACGCCCGCAGTATGTAACACACTGTTTAGTAATGGATAGCATGTTAGTGCGCAGAGATTTCAAAGAAAAGAGAATATCACGCACGCACACACAGAGGACACACTGAATAATGAGCTGCTCCTGCTGAACGTCCATATTGCAAAATTAGCCGGAGGAAAGTGCTCTGTAAGTGCACCATCTGTACTGTTGCCTATAGTAGCAAGTGGGGTGAAACCACAATAAGTGGACTGAAAGCCACGAATAGAAAAAAAATCAGCTTTGTTTTTTAAATATTATGCAGCAGCAGCGGATCAATGCGGCCGTGTCCTGCAGGAAGCAGCTCGCTGGAAAACATGACCCGCTGCTTGCTGGCATTAAAATGGCATTAGATTAAAAAAAAGTACCACGAAAAAAGAGGGAAGTGTCACTTAACCCGACAAACTATGCGTTAAAAAAACTTCCTCGCAGCATGTCTGATCCCTTTAAAAATAATAATCCAGGTTTAATGGGAACATTCAGCATGTAAAAGTAATTCAGGCTGGATATTGTGGATGTTGAATGTAGAAAGTTACCTCTAGTTCTACAACCATGTATTCAACAATCATTTTACAATCAAGCCATAGTTTCTGTAATTTAATCGTCGTTGGTTCCAGTTTCTTGGGTGTGACTTGTGCAGGTTTTGTTGGATGTTTCTCAGTGTTCTCATGTTGTTGACTGTTGGTCAGACAAAAACCATAACTCTGTTAGTCGTGTATATTATTCAGACAGGTGACAAATTAAAGGAAAACCTGATCATTGACTTCTACAGTGAGGCAACGTTTAGCTGGTATGGTTTAGGTTCACTTGTCTCCTCAGAGAAAACAACCCTACACTGTAAGAAATTAAAGTTTTGTTTAATTGTACATTTTTTTAAAATGTATTGTTATTTTACAAATGTACCTGTTATGTTAAATTATAAATACGAACTTTTAAAATCACAGAAAAAGAATGAATTTCCATGTTATCCATGAAAACCAGGCCAAAACTGTAACATTCCCAGAAATAATAACTATATTCTCATAAAATAGTAATTAATTCCTCTACAGTAAAACAACAATTTCTTTCTCTCTATTCATATTAGCAAAAATATCATTATTCTACAGATATTTGCCCTTTTTTTTGCCAAGTAAATTGAAAAATGGCAAAAAAAAAACCCAAAAAGATATTTTACAAACATTTTGTTAAGTTTCATTTAATGTCTAATAAAATCAAAGAAAGAAATGTTTGTGTACATGATGACTGAAAAAAAATAAAATAAAATAAAAAATCGAACCTAAACTGTTCACATCAATAATCTATGCTTTAGTAGTAGTAGGTAGTTATTTGTTTTTTTATTACAGTGTGTGACCATAAAATTACTGTTTTAATATATTAAATGCTAAAATAATAATAATAATATACTAAAGATATTTGCCAGATGTTAAAGTATGCCACCATTTCTTTTTTCCTGGCACCTTTGCTGACTTTGCAAAAAAATTCTGAACCCAGCTGATCCCTGGTGGGAGATTTTTTTTTTTTTAAGACAACCACCGTCATCAAAACACTCGATGAGGAAATATCTTGGAGGAGAAGGACGTCACAGAATTCCAGAGTCTTGCACTGAAGCTGTTCTGGCAGCACACGAAGGCTTCAACAGCCCACTTCAAATAGCTTTTTTCCTTTAATTCGTCAGCCGTCTGTATAATGAATCTTTTAAAGGTGGAGTCTGCTGAACTGGAACAACGCTGATATTTAGCTAGTTTGCATTTTTTAGATCCTCCCACTGCCCTCTTTGGATTCCATTGTTTTGTTTTTTTTTCCCTCAGTCACGTGCACGAGCATGAACATGCACAGGACGCGCTGGAATTTCCACTTTGGGTTTTTTTTGTTTCCCCCAAAAACAAATTTCAACCAGCAATCGTAATCAGTATTTAGCGGAGAAGATGTGTAACATTAACTGATTTTATTTTATTTTTTATTGCAACTGGACAAAGAAAGTGTTTCTGATGTCTCCAACAAACATTTTCTCACAAACGCGTTAAACACTGAACACCAACAGCGTCCATTTATTATTATTATTATTATTATTATGAATACTTTACAAATCAACAGTAAAATCTGCTATGACTCATATTTTCAGACTTAAATCTAACTTAAGTCTCACACTGGTACGCGTCACACAGTGTTAAATATTCTCTTGATACACACACTTTATGCAAACTACTTTAATCAGAGCATAAAAATAATAAAGCTGGACATTTACAGTGCGTACACGTCACTTTTTAAGACACAAATTTGGTTATAATAAAACGATTTCATCAACTCGGTCCACAGACGTAAATTTCTAGTCCTGCTAGATGACATGAAAATGATCTTTTTTCTTCTTTTAAATACATTAAACTTCTATTTGGCCAATCTATGGATAATTCATACAGGATGTTCTCCCGCTGATACTTTATTAAACGCTGCCACCTAGAGGCCGCCTGCAGTAATAAAGTTTAAATGCCTCTAAAAACCAGAGAAGCCTTTTCAATATGAAAAGGTTTTGCACTTAATTTATTAGTCCAAAATAAAAATAAATCAATAAACGAACAGGAAATCGCACATTTATTGTCCTTTCTGACAACTCACACACACACACACAAATCCTGGTATCACAAAAATATCTTCAGTCATGATGTAAATACACTTGAAAACACAACGGAGCCAAGGACCTAGTAAAAGACTCACCGTGACTGGTGTCAGGTTATTAAATGTACACATGTTTTCAGCCAGCAAGTAAAGCATTTATTGAAGCAAGATTATTATTATTATTTTTTTTACTCCTCGCACTATAGATGGTGTGCCTACAGACCTGAAGGATGGATTTCACAGTGCCCTAAGAAGCAGGTACGCACATCTTTTGCAGTAAGTCAAATCTGGAGTTGAGGTCGATATTAAAACGTTGAAATGTTGGACGACAGCCATCAACGGAAACAGACGGAAGAAAAGACCAAAGACACGTTATTTTCTTCTTCAAAAGAAAACAAAAAATAATCAACTGCATGATTAAAAGTGCAAAGTTTTGCCCTTAAAGCTTGATTGTGTGTTTTCCAAACAGTTTAGCATCGACCAATCTCAAAGGGATTTGCTGCTACAGTACTTTTTGACACGTTTTTTTTTTTTAGTAACAACACGACACTGAAACCATCGACGGGAATCGAGCGGTAAGCACATGCATGACGACAGCAGCGGTGGTGATGATGATGATGATGATGCCGCCGCCGTACATCCACTAAAACACCATCTGCCTCCACAAAAATCACTTTTTTCATGTAGCATTAACATCACATGTCGGCAACTTTGCGCAGAACGACGCTGAGCTGAGCCGAACTTCTAAACTGGTATCTGACCTGCTGAAGTGTCGCTGAGCAAGTCAGGAGCACCACTCTGGAGCTGACCATGCAGGGAAAGGGCGAGTTTTTTGGGGGGAGGGGGGCTTTTATGGGAAAAAGCTTTTAGCAAACGTGCTTTTGTTGGTTGTTTAATTTGAAGGAAGTGATCCTGTAAAACAGTGGTTCTCAAACTGGGGGTCGGGACCCTCATGGGGGTCCCAAGATAATTTCGGGGGGTCGCCAGATCATTGTAAAAAAAATAAAAACAAAGCCTACATTTATCAAATTAACTTGCATTAGGGCTGTCAAAACTAAGTGTATACTTGTTCCCACTCCTTTATCGAACTTAATATTATGATTTGATTATGTGATATATTTTTTTAAAAATATTTTCCTTTGTTTTTATATTTTTTTCCCTTTCATTTGTTCAAAATAAATTCAATTCATTCATTTAAAAGAAAATTAATGTGTTAATGTAAAGAGATTAATCTGTGGAATTAACACATTAATTAAAAGTTATTACTGATGCCATATTTAAAATTCTAATGGGGGTCACAAACTGACTGAAGTACACCAGCAGTCTTTAAAAATCTGGAACAATCTGAAAGTTATTTGACCCCTTTGATTGTATAAATCTCTAACTTTCACTTACTTATATTATAATAGTTCTTTTGGTCCAATTTATCACCGTTTAGAGGCAAAAGTTGGACACCAACATTTTGCTTAGTAGTCACCGTAGTTGTTGGTTGTAAATTGTGTCATTAGATATACAAACATCAGCCTCTTAACAAATCACAATCCTGTTTGTGTGAGGTTTTTTCTTTCCCCTTCCTGAAGCACAAATTCTATTTATTTCAAACAAGCTGAGCTACTTCACAGTCTTTCAAAGTACCGCCGCGGTACAAGTACTCCTGGCTGGGGGAATCACGTCTTTAAAAAAAAAGAAAGAAATAAAGGGATTCGTTATTACAGCTCATTGCGACAAAAGAACTTGTTTTTGCATTAACACCAGTAGTTTGGGCACTTCAGCACCGTGGACAGCTCCGTACTCATCCTAAATACTGACAAAAAGAAGTAAAAAAAAGGAGCCACACAAGCTGCAACATCAATCCAGAAAAATAGGACTTTCACAGACAACACATGCACAAAACAACCGGAACGGAGAAGCCGTGCGTTATGTCGCTCAGACGTCTCTTAATCCCGTAAAAGACGCCGCTGATTGGAGCACACGGGAACATCCCGAGCCCATTTCTTTGACACTAAAACGTACAAAAGCAGCTTTGTACAAAACAATTCAAACTGCCAGCCCTCTAATTAATGTTTTAAAGACGGGTTCAGCTCATTAGGTGTGGTGTTTTAAAAAAGAGGAAGCACTGTAGGCAGAAAAGGAACTTTCATTAAAATTCCAGCGAACCAACAACATAAAAAAAAAATGTATCAAAGACAACAGGAGCTCAAATCAAAACCAGCCTCCCTCCCTCCTTCCCTCTCTCTCTCTGTTTTCCTCGTAGTGGCACAGCGAAACAAGCTGTTCATCAAAGGGGGGAAACCTAGTTTGAAAATCAGCCCCGAGAGACGTCGGTACTAAAACCAACCCTTTCCTGTGATGCACTGTTATTTTCCCTACAAAGAAAGTGAGCTTGGTCCCACAGAGGCAGTGAGTGGAGTACGGTATTTTCTTTGGAACAAACAGCGCTGCAGCACATCAGCTAATAGAGCCTGGCTCCCAGAGGGGAGCTCAATATAGGACACTCTTCCTCTTCCTCCACTTGAGCTATTAATACACCCAAACAAAAGAAAAGAGGCTTAATGAGGCAGCAACGGGGAACTCATGCGAACTAAGTTAGACAAGAGCTTTGTAGTGTTTAGCTCCAAGGATTCCAGCTTTTTCACGAGGGCAATGGATCCTACTTTGCTATTTCTATTGTGGCCGATGCTATGGGAAGTACAGTATATGTACATTGTGTTACGCCCTTTGAAGCGCTATGTTTAAACCCATTTGGTCTTTTTAAATGGCTGAAGCAACACGACAGCAAAACAAAACAAAAACAGATGCATAGTTTTAAGCATGATAATGTGCTGGATATGATCCTATAAAGAACATCTGAGCTAGAACCACATGTCACCGACCAGACGAAAACAAACTGTGAGATATATATATATATGTATACGGAGCATCTCTTTGCATATTTGCATGAAAGGAAATATCTCATGCAGCTTAAAGCAGCTACCTTGAAGTTAATGCTTTGGTTCTGATTCAGAGTGCATTAAAATGGAAGAAGATGAGCGAGTGTGTTTAAATGCACACAGCAGTCCGACTAAGAATTTGTTGAGGAACGTTTTCTGGGCAGCACTGATCACAAAGTACCCCTGTACATATCAACAAAACACGGCGTTTCAGTTATTACCATGGAAACAGACCAAGACGTACTACTAACAGAGCGTGGCGTTGTACTTGCCTAACTAACACCGGCGTCCTAACACTGGGATGTGACAATATTTAGGCTATTGTTTAAAAAAAAGGGGAGGGTTCTCGTACATCCATCACAACAGCAGAACTTCAAAGTCCTGAAATAAATCAGGAAATTTTAAAATGTGCAACTCACGTTAAATCAAGTAAGAATCTGCTGGGGAAACAAAGCCCGTAAAGACAAAGAGTGGCTGATGTTTGAGTTCACATCATGCACTGGGGGACTTAATACTAACCGGATATCTGCCTCAAAGTGAGAGCTGTCACACAGTGCAAGGATCACCGTTTCAGTCATGCAGTGCAGCGTGGTGAATAGAGCAAGGATGGCGTAAAAAGGGGAGTTTGTTTAGGGGGGGGGCTATCCTCATGATGGTTCCAAGACTCAGAACAGTGACACAACTTTTTTTTTGCACTGTATTGCCTTAAAATGTCCAAATGTGTCACTGCCGACACTAACAGGCCTGACATCACCTGATTCAATTGCATTTTTTTTGGCACATAAACCTTCGTTTGTTTTAAAAGAAGGTCACCTGAAACTGCCCTTTGGCATCTTGGATAAGAGAAAACTCAAACTACTTACACCTCGCACTAAGCTGATCTGAATTTTCCGTTTGGGACATTCTGGCTCAATCCAATTGGTCGTAGTGATGATGAGGCAATTAAGTCTTAAAGCGCACAAGGCAAATCCACTGCTGGGCTAAATACTGACTCGAGGATCAGACCATGTGGAAAAGCAGCAGTGCAGAGTCTTGAAGTAGCCGTACTCCCACATGAGAGGCAAAGAAAAAATACGTCTAAATATAGCTCTTCTTGTAGGGTCGCATCCCTTCAGGCAGCAGTATTCCCCACACAACAATAAAAACCACAGATTTGGCTGAACATACGACATCCACGTTTGGCTGTTCCTACAAAAACGATGTTTACACTTTTGCTTCTTTGTGAACGAGGAAATGGATTTTTAACACTGAACACAGCTGCGGTTCGACCCCCGAAATCCACTGATTTCAAAATCCAACAAAGGATTTCTGGTTGCGTGAATTTGACGAACCATCAACCGGTGGCCAACGGTTTTAATCTCTTCTCGCCTACAGTAAGTTGCAGTGTCTACATAACTGTGTCTTCATGACCCACGAGAGGCATTGACATGTAAGAGAACCACAAAGAGTTAAGAATGACACAGAAACAGTCTTTTGAGCTGATAGGGAAACATACACACATACACAAAATAGCTTCTGTTTTTTTTTCTTTTCGTTTTTTTTTTTTAAAGACTCACTTGTATCCATTATTTCTTTTCAGATCATTCTGAACCATAAATAAGTTAACAATATAGCTTATCATAAATAAATTTCAGTCTGTAAAATTCACATATAAATAACCTGCTCCATCTCGCAGGGACTTCCCGCAAAAGAGAAGCGGACCCACGTTACGTTGCGCTGCAGCCCGTTTGCATTTCGTTTCGCTCGTTGACGAAAAATACAAAGCATCCGTGGTGTAAACACGACGACTTTCCCTTTAAAACCTCTGGAGACGCGGACAGAGACGGGTGAATGGAGAGGACAGAGGCTGTGATCTGATGACGAGACTGAAGACGTCTCTCCATTGTCTGTCTGGACCGGGGGGGGGCAGTAGGGCAGCCCTTTTCATTTAGGACACCGGGGACAACTTCTTCCTGGTCCAGTCCCTGATTGACACAGTCTGTCTGTGAAAGTCAGAGAGAAAAGAACGGATAGGCTATTGCTAGTGATGACTGATTGATAGATATTGAGGTGACGGTTGCTGCTCCTGCTGCATGCTTGATTTTTGGAGACGTGCGGACGTCCATGCAATTTGAGCCAGAGGCAGAGAGCTGCCGGGGACACAGAGAAAGAAGAGAGCTGTCTCTACGCTAGTCCGAGCCGTTCTTCGGTTCATGAAACTATCTGAATCTGGGTTTGTTTGTTTTTTTTTTCCTCTCGCTGTCTCACTGTCCTTCTGAGAAGTGAAAGGCTGGAGGTGCTGGTTGGTGCCCAGAGTCTGTTCCCAGGGCCACCGGTGTGCTGACAGGGGTGGTGAGAGGAGTGCTGTTGGAGGGCTGTGGATTGGCGTCGCCCTCCGGGAAAGTCTTCTCCTGAGACTGGGAGGAGGACGACGAGGAATGGGTGCTCTCGCTGGAACTGCTGCGGGTGTCTGTGCTGGTACTCGTCTTTTTCATCTTCCTCCTCTTGGCCAGTGGTGCTTTGTCCACCGTCTGCAGGCGGAAACCTTCCCGCTTACATTTGTTAAATGCCTGAGTAAAAAAAAAAACAAAAACAAGAAGAATGAAAAAACGAGTTCTGGTGAGCCAGTCATTAATATTCCTGTGAATAATTTATTTCCCAAGGGAGGCATTGATCTCATCAGTGACGGACTGAGTCGGCAGCCGACTGTAACTGAATGAAAGTAACTGATGGAGGAAACAAAGAAGCTGAGTTTCGGGCCCATCCGGTATCCGGCCAATACCCGATAGAACTAATTAAGTCAGAATCGATTCAGCACTTGGGATCACTACATTGTCCCATCTTTTCTGAACTACTACTTCATGGATACCGCACTAATTTTATGCTATTAAGAGTGTTTTTAATCAAAATAATCAATTTTTCAGGCAAAACAGTTCTTTGTACACCAGCTGGAAAGAACCTTTTTTTTAATCATTAAGTAATGAATTCAATATCTGGTCTATAAATAGCAGATTGTAGTGCAAAACTAGCTGATGCTGTCAAATAATAAACAAGAAAAATACAGATTTAATCCAGTTCTTTGGACAACAGCTGCAGTAAAGCTTCATGTCTTTATTAATTAGTCAGCCAACAATTGTCATGATTAATCAATAAACTGTTTGTGCAGAAAAACAGTGAAAAACTAGTAAAATGTCATTTTAAAAAAAGCTTGTTTTGTCTGATCAGTACTCCAAAACCAAAAGATTATTAACTTTATTAATCACGAGACAAAAAGTAGCAAATCATCACAAAGAAACGACAGACTGGCACTGTGAAGGAGAAGCATTTTTGTGTTTATATATGAGAAACAAGGTCAGCTGCAGAGAGCTTTGCTAAATCAATTACTAATAATGAATTATGGGACGACCTGCTTTAGACAGACTTCCCAGTAATACATTAAAAAGAATGTGATCTCCATATGTATGAGTAGCAGCAGCTTGACCACAAGTTTGTGATGTTCTGACCGACTATCTAACAACGGTGTACTTCCGGTCATTACTTACATTAAAGGTAGCTTTGACGTAAGTGTGGACGGAGGCAGTGGAGGAGCCCAGGATGTCCGGGGTCATGAGTGGGTTGGAGGACAGCTGGCTGTCGTCCTGCAGCCAGGCATTGTAGCGGAGGCCGCACATCTTAATCCTCTTGTTTGGGTCCACGGTCAGCAGCTCTGCAGGAACAAGACGCAGGTAATTACCTTCAGCGCTCGATGCGTGAGAGGAGAGGTGAGCCACAAATGAGCCACAGAGAGGAAGTGATTTCCTCCTCAGGTAGCTCAGCGGCTGTGAGCCACTTTAGGGGGTTAAGAGGGTCAATCCATGACCTAAAAGTAAACAAACTCGTAGCCCATGAGCCACAACATGAGTGGAAAGTCTGACGCTGCAAAACCGGCTGACCTATATTTTAAAACACAGAACAGCTTAAAATATAGAGACTTCGTTTAATGAAGTTTTCAGCTCATCAGTATATTGATGAGTATTTTCAGTTATGCTTAAGTGTGTTAAACATCACAACAACATATGTAAATATTGCCGCTATTTGAATGGTAAACATTTACTGAAATGTAATCTATATGCAATAAAAATCCTCATCTATCATAGTTTCAACCATTGGATGAAACAATCAGTCACCCATTCCTCACCTTGTATCAGGTCTTTGGCCTGCTGGGACACATTTCTCCAGGCCTCTCCTTCAAAAGAGAAGTCTCCTTGTTTGATTTTCTTCATAATCTCCTCAGCACTGGTATGAGTCAGGCTCTTCTCCTGACACTGAAAAGGCACCTGGCCAGACAGCATAGTGTACTGCGAACAGAAGAAAAATGGACTATAAAGCCAACCTCAACATAGTTTCCAGCAACAAATGTTAGCTAACACCACGCTGGCTAGAATGAAACTAACTAAGCAGTTAAAGGCATCTACTACAACATGCTTTGAAAGCGCTCTTGACCGATCACGACACACGTTTCCATTGTTGTGCTGCTGTGTTGTTGACCGTGGTTGGAGCAGCACTACAAAGAAGAGCGGTCAGATGAACAGGATACTCTCACCTTGGCCTGCTTGCATCTACCCTCAGTTTTCTCATTAAAATGACAGTGGTTGGGAACAGCCCTTTTGGCAGCGGAGGATCTGTCGTGCCGTGATCTCCCTCCCTCTCCCTCTGTGTCTCAGCTCACTTGGCTTCCAGGGCATTGTGCACATAGCTTGTCAGTAACCATTTCGTCAAAGCTGTATGAGGCACACTACTAGCATATCCCCCCAGGGGGCGACGGTGTGATGCAGCACTTGCACATACAACCCAGGCTCTGTATGGATGACTGGCCAAGCACAGACATCTCCCCCTCGACTATCTGCTCCCCCCTCTGTGTGCCATCTCCTTACCCTCTCTACCTCTGCTTTTAATTTTTCCTGCTCTGTAAAGAAAAAAAAAGGGCTCAATGAGGATGACATTTCCGCTGCCGGATCTCATACGAGCCTTAACCAGCTCTAAGAAGATGGCCTGGTTCTTCGTTCCGCGGCGAGCGCTAAACTGTGTCAGCTCACCACAGGATGCTGAAGGTTGTAGCGCCTCAACGAGAGGAGATGAATATCATGCGAGGCGGAACATGTGCGCACACGCGTGCGAACATACATGTGTGCATGCGTAGACGCGCTGAAAGCCTCGACTACAGCCAGAATCAGCTCAAAAATAACAGCTGATTGCTTTAATCAGAATGGCCTGCAGCAAATGCCTAATCCATAAACTGGATAACACAAACAAATCAACAGTGTATGGAGCTTCTGATTAAAGATTAATTTGGTTTTAGAAACACTTCAGTTCACAGCGTTTTGAAAAACAACTTAAAAGTGGAGCTTGGAGCTGTGGATTTTGAAAAGATTTGTAGAAATTTATATAATCAGGTCACTTTCCTGGGGCATTGTGGAATGTGATGTTCTAAAGTAGGCCTTTGCGACTGCATAGTCTTAACAAGTAAAGGATACTTCTGAATAGGGCTAATCAATGATCCGGTACCAACATCTACTGCAGCCTGAGACAGACATCAATGTCATCAAACTCAAAGCTTAAACCTCATGCGCAGTATAATTCTTTCGTCGTATCTTCGACTTGATTCGACTCAGCTCGGCTGCTATATGAAACTCTACAGCCCTAATATATACAGCAGTTCTTGTTGTTAGTATTTTTTGGACAGGCTAAGTGATGCGGCAACCCCACCAACATTTTACAATTACAAACACACTTTCATTTGATTTAAAGTGGCACTGCGCACTTACACGTGTTTTGTTGAGCTGTAAACTAAATAACATCAGCCTGCTATGATGAAAGACATCAAAGCTGGTGTTACTACTGACATTTGTGGGGGAAATGGCTCAAATCCGCTGCTTTAAATCAGCCTGAACGTTGCGAAAGCTGACAGAGTCAACCAGTTCTCTACATCACTAAATGTATGTTTTTTAAAAAGAATCTGAGGAGGGCGGCCCACCTCCCTCATTCCTCCGCCTGTGAGTGTGAATCTGTGAAACCGATTATAATGCATCATTCATAGGAGTTTATGCCATTTTTCCTAACCCTCTGCTTAGCATTTTTTTCAATTCTGGTCCAAGGATTTACCGTTGACAGCTACAGTAGCACCACTGGACTGCATTCTCTCCCTTCAGACCTTCATTCAACCCTCCTACCAATTAGTATAACGCCACTACTTAGAGTCTGTCTCCATCCTTTCTTGCACTTGCATTGCCTCAGCTTGAGGAGCTCTAGCTTGATACAGCTCAGGACCACAATGCCACTTGGCTGCACTAATGTCTGCTTCAAGGGATTGTGGGGGAAAGTCCTCAATCTCAAAAGAGCACTCTGTGGCATAGGTGTAGCCAATATTGTGTTGCTCTCTATTTTCTGCAGCCTGGGGGTGTCACTGAGCAACTCCTGCCTGTCCCCCCTCTCAAACCTTCGCCTGCTTTTTAACATTTGTCAAAGTTGCGTTGTTGGTGAAGTTAAGCTCAGAGCTGCTCTTAAATCACACTTTAAATGGTGAGTATCCTTCTGACATATACTTGGGAGTGGTTTTTTCAAGCAAACCAACCATATTCATGACTACCCATTTATCATTTAGGTAAGACCTACGATCGATCAATTTCTTTTGATTTTGATTTGACAAGTTAGCAGAGAATAACTACTGTAAATTCCGGACTATAAATGGTAAACGGTAAATGCACTTATAAAGCGCTTTTCTACCTTTGCAGCACTCAAAGCGCTTTACAATGTTTCTCATTCACCCATTCACACACACATTCACACACCAATGGCGACAGAGCTGCCATGCAAGACGCTAGCCTGCCATTGGGAGCAACTTCGGGTTCAGTGTCTTGCCCAAGGACCCTTCGACTGTGGAGGGGCAGGGGATCGAACCATGCGATTAGAGGACAACCCGCTCTACCACCTGAGCCACAGCCGCCACTGTTTTTCACAGGCTTTGAACACTGCGGCTTAAACAATGATGCAACTAATTTATGGAGTTTTACGAATTTGCCTCGAGACCAAAGTGACATTGAGAGCGACAACGGAAGAGAGACTGAGGAAGTGTGTGACGAAGTAATTCTGAAGCTGTTCAATTCCGACACTGACGAAGACGACTTTAGTGGTTTTAGTGCGCAGGAGGAAGATGAAGATAGCGATGAGTGACTCTTCCTGGTAGGCTACTGTATTTTTATTTATTTTTTTTATATTCAGGTGCGCTCAGTAGTCCGGAATTTACGGTACCTTGAAATTAAAAGACTTTAAATTGAACAAATTGAAGGCAGCAACATCAGGAAAGTTTTCCGGTTCTGGGAGCTAACAACAGAGAATGTTCTAATTATACACTGATTGTACACAAATGATCTTAAGTCCCCCAATCCTCTCCTCTCCTCTGCAAACTCAACACCCTAAACACCTTTTTTCACATTATTTGCAACTAAATAAGTTGATGCTGCCCATTTGAGAGCAGTCCTTCTTTCTCCTAATACTGCATGGAGTGTGTACCATGCTTTAGCTTTACACTTTTGGCTCTTATTGTCCATACATGTGGGGAGCAGTAATAGACTGAGATGATGGCCTGCTGATGTTCTATTCCCCCTGAATAATCAATGATGCTGTATCAGCCCCATGCCCAGCATTTTCTTTTAACCTGGCTCATCCACTCACCAGAATGACCCCCAGACTCCACAGGTCGCAGGACTCATCGTAGCCATCATATTTGAGTATCTCTGGTGCGGCGTACTGCAGGGTGAAGCAGGGAGTCTTCAGGAGCTGATTGTCTGGTGGTTTGAGACGAGCGAAGCCAAAGTCTATGATTTTTATCTCTGAGTTCTCACTCTCGTCTGTGAAGAGCAAGTTCTACAAAGCAATTCGAGACACAGACAGCAATCATTTTTTTCTGCTCAGCAACACCAGTCCACTCAAGAGGCTACTAAATTGTACATCAAGACTGACCAGGTACTTCTGACCCATGTTAGGGTCAAACAATTTTACTCTTGTTTTGTAGAAGATTGCAGAGTCAGAGTGACAATACGACAGATGATACGAAGTTCAGAAAAAGACAGTAATTCTGTCTTAAAAGCGTATGATCCAGTCAGCCTGGATTCGCCACAAAGACACAAACTGTGCTCAGACAGAAAAGAATTGCGAGCAGGAGCCCTGCTGAGTAGATGTCCAATACCTCCGGTTTAAGGTCCCTGTGCACCACTCCTACGTCATGCATGTGGCTGACAGCAGACACCAGTTTGCGCATGATGCGGCTGGCCTCCGTTTCGCTGAAATGCTGCTTCCTGCGGATTCTCTCCAGCAACTCGCCTCCGCCAAGCAGCTCCAAGACCAGGTATGTGTGGAGCTACAGCAAACACACACACACACACACAACATGTTTACATTTCTGTCCAACCTCTGCTACACCCAACCATTTATTCTCTGACATGCTTTGAACTCGTACAGAAGGTGCAAACACTCCTAAAGGGTTAGCAATTAAACAAATATTGACAAGTTTGTGTTGTGTTTTCGAACGTGTCATCAATCTTGCTCTCACGGCTTGAACCTCACGTCGCAAACGTCTGAATGTTGACATTGGTGGACAGACATTTTTCAGTCGCATAATAAATATATGAAAGACAGCCCATCCTTAATCTCATGATGGTGAGATCAAACCATAATGGCATTGAGTAAAAGTGAAAGGGGGCAAACAAAGTGGGAAGAGAATAATGTGTCCGGGCAGCGGGGTAGAGTTTCTCATTAGTGCTGGATCCAGGGAACAAAGGCAGGGCTCGGCTGAGTCAAGGCGAGGCAGCGCTGCTTTGATCTGGGTCACAGGCCTGTGAGGTACAGTAATAACCCCACTGAGCTCATCAGGACTAAAGTGGTGCTCCTGGGCATGAAGGACCGGCACTAATGAACCTGTACACAGTCAGACACACGGACACACCTTCCCAATAACCTAGGGAAGCTGCATTTGGAACATATGCACATTCAGTTTGGGTTAATTGCGCGGCTCGATTAGCAACACAAGCGAATTTGGGTTGTTTCTATTCAGGATTACAAAATGGGCGTTTGTGCAGCTGCGGTTTAGAAATAAATCTGCTGTGAAACATCGAGCACACCGAGAGATGTTCACGGGACAATACGTGAAGAGACAGAGAGAGACCCGGAGGGCTACCAGCATCCCTATTAATCTGCCTTGTTCCAGTTCCAGGACTTAATAAGGCTGCAGTCCCCACAGGCTCCACAGAGAGCAACGGAAAACAGAATTTGTGGCAGTGAACGTAACCGCCGCAATTAACATTACCTGATCGTGGTAGATTTCATGTAACTTGACAATGTTGGGGTGGCCATCGCAGAGCTTCAGGGCCGCTATTTCCCGCTGGGTCTGTGCCTCCATCCTGCAGCAGACACAAGCAATCACAAAATACAAGATAAATGCCCACACAGCAAAGAGGGGAGCTGAGTTTTTAGATGATGGGTTCTGTATCCTTCAGCAGGTTTTCAATTGCTTTTTTTGGTATCAAATCAACAGACAGTGCACTATACCAAGAGTTTTTAAAACAAAAACAGGCCTAAGAAAACAAGACCTGCCCGTCAAGTAACTAACTGGTTACTTTTAACTTTTTGTACAACATTTGGACATATTCTATATAATGTATTCACTACGCAATGGCTTGTGTAGGGTTGCCATTTTCTTATACTACACTGTCCAACAGCTTAAATTCATAAATAACTAACAGTAAACTACATGAATCCGTTTACAAATTCTTAAATTTCAGAGGCATTTCCATAACTTCAGAAGCAGCTTTCATCTGCAACTCCAATGACTTTTGACGGTAAGCCAACCGATGAAGGGATAGAAAACATGGTCTGCAATGTGCAAAGTGTGATTTATTTTCTGAACACGCCTATCTAGATTGAGGGGACATGTGTTTGTGTCAGTCCCACTGTGCCCAAGTAAAGATCACTATTATTAGAGCCATAAATCTGGTGCCACACCATCAGTGGAGGAGTGTAGTGTAGGACTACAATCAACACGCATGATCAAAGCGTATGTTGTAGGAGTTGTCAGCAAGAACAGCCAGGTTTGTGAGCAGATCTGGCAATCTTAGCTTAATAGGGAAATAAAAACTGAAAAACAGTTAAAAAGTCAAATGATGACATTAAATCGTCATTATCATTTAAGGAGAACATTTCTACTTTAATATTCTCATAAACCTTTGTTTAGACTTGGCTGACCAAGGTCCAATTTCTGCCAAAGAGTGAAGGAGGGTGGCTGTCCGATGCATCCAATGAAACTATAAACACAAGACCGAGCCAAAAGCATCTGGGTTGACAAACACATCCGAGAGAGGAGCCATGGAGCTTTTACCTCTTGCTGACAATCTTGACTGCGTATTTCTGCCCAGTCTTCTTGTGTGTGCACCGTCTGCAGATGGAGAAGCTGCCCTCTCCCAGAGCGCTGTCCTTCAGGTCCATCTCGTAACTCATATAGAAAGGCGAGTCCTGCCGAAAGGAAAAGTGAGGTTGTCTGGTGAAACATAAATTCTAACTGAGGAGTTTCCTACAATTGCAAGTCTTTAAAATGTACATAAAATATATTCCTTGAGTGTAATAATACATGTTGGTTGTTAGGTATTAAATAGGAGCAGATTTAATAAGCTTCTGCATTCCTTGTCATAATGTACAGACCACATTAATGTGCCATTTATTTCAATGTGATCTCAGCTCTCCGGCTGCTTTTATCTTCTCCACAGAGAACACTGAAGCCACAAATTATGTCCTTGATACACTTTTCCTCACGTTTCCATCCTTTCTGTTCTCCACACAAAGACACAATTCATGTATGAGCCTTTTATGTCTTCTCAAATTTAAGTCTACCCTGGAGGTTGTATAGATACTGCATTTGTATTAAATATGCAACCTAATTCAATTACTACTGACAAGAGCCAGAAAGCCCACAGCCCACCTCACTCTTGTCCCACTTTTCAACCAGAATAAAATATTCTTTGCCTTCTAGTTTCATGACCATGAAGGCTTTTGCTTCTTTTTTTTTTTTTTTTTTAAGTCTATCATCATACAGTTATCAGCAGCAGTCAATGAAAACCGTTTTATGAGGAACCACGTAAGCTTCTCTTGTTGCGTAATGTTGGATACAAAAGGAGAAATATCACCAATGATGGCAAATCTTGATTTCCTGAATTAAAATACTGAAGCTCACTGCAAGATGAGATAAGACAAAAAAGACTAACTAACTAGCTTCCTCTTTGCAATACCTGTAAAGTCTATAAAGTACAGTGAGCTGAAGCTTTATGGGAATTCTGAGCACATCTGGAGCGAAGTGGCTTTTTTTTTTCAAAGCATGTACGCATTTAAGAATGTAAGTAGGCTGTCACTTAGTCTACATGCAAGTCAAAAGGCCCAATTTGGAAGACAAGGACTGAAGAATTATTAAATTTTAAAATAAATCATAATTTGCAACAATACATTCAGTAAAGGCTGTGATTTAAGTATCTCATGCATTAATGGTCTATCACATGTTTTACGCAGTGACTACTGACTTTAATTTTTTGAAGCACAAAGCAAATTGCAACGTCTGTCAGAAAAATTGCAGTTAGATAATTTTCCCAAATCATTCCGCCCTAAATTAAACAACAGACTGAGAAGCATTATGATGAGAAATTACAGCACCTATCAATTGTAAAATACATCTCTGAAGAAATGTAGCAAAATTGGTAGCATTTACAAAACGGTATCACTCATCTAGACAACTTGGCTACACAGGCAGGTATCCAGGATGTTGATAAGAAACTAAATGAGCGCACAAAGACCAATGCACTGCTCCGGTCTTCAAAAGCATTATGCTGCACAGACACACAAAAGCATTCATGAACAAACACCATTAAATAAACAGACTCATGCCTGAAAACTGAATCGGAGTGCAGTAAAACAAGCACAGTGGGGGGGGGGGAAAGTTCCACTGGAATGGAGAGGAAGGAAAAAAAATCTCATCTGTCTGTGACAGCAGCCATTAGCTTAAGTGTGTTTGTGCTGGAGGATCCAAGTCCATTCATCTTACCTTCATCATGGCGCTGCGGGCCACCGCAGCCGAGCCTGGCCTCTCAGAGCCCCCACACAGCTGGACAGGGTCGTCCATCACCACATTCCTCTTGAACAGGATGGAGGGGGCCATGAAAGAATATCCCTGCACACAGAAACACATAAGCTCTAGATGTTTACATTTCACTAAGACGAGATGAGGGATGGACTGTATGGACGGAAGAGAGGGAAACTTTATTTGCTGTGGGCAACAGACTCAAAGAAACGACATTTACTGTAAAGAAATTTCCATTTTTCTTTAAATGTTACTTGTCAAATCAGCCTGTCAGCTCCACAATAAGGCCAATTCTGTTCATTTGTGAGTGACAGTGGCTGTCCAGCTGTTCCTATTGTTAGACCTGTCATTGTGGAGAACCGCCTGCTTAATTCCAGCTGTGGGGAGCCCAGAGCTTTGAGCTGGCATTAATCTCTCTCTCTCTTTTTCACAGACACACACACAGCTGTGTGGTATGTAGTGACAGCAATGGATGGACGGAAGGATGGATGTTGAATGAATGAGATGCCCTAAATTGCCGGGCTTGAATATTTGATTGCTCTGCTGTGAAATTACATCTTGGCGCTCTTAATGCAATTTTAATTTTGTTTTGTGAGGCACCGCGGGGGAGCAAGTGCACGGTTTAAAACTGGGATTGCTGTCGTTATCTCAGAGATTGCTAGGCTTGCAAATTATAAAGACCACAAAATTTCAGAGTATGTGAATGGCAGCTGAGAGCGAAAAATGCCAAGATGAAGTTGGCAATCAAAGACTGAAGGCGTAACCGAGACAGACGTGGTGATGCTCTCGAAGTGTAACCTTTTATTCCATGAGAGAAGCCCGTTAATGGATCTATTGATCTACCGAGCTCAAGGATCCAGAAGGCAATCAGAGTTGAAATTTCATGCAATACATCAGACAGCCATCAGCTGGCATGGAGTTGTGGGCCATATTATGGTTCAAAGCTACATCAAAAATAGTCATTCACATCTGTTACTTCAATAAGAGCTGCATATGGCAGCAATTACTTCAATAAAAGCCCCTTTAGTCAATTTGAATACCAATGCACACAGACAGAGTCATGTTGACTTACAGCAACCTTTTGAGGACATTCAAAACTTCACTTGATTACTTCAATTGCTGTGGAGTATGTCAAATATAGTCGCAGACAAAAAGTGGGTAATGTATAATGCGATTTTTCAACCGTGTCAACATTTCACACTGCCTGCAACCAAAGCCCAGACAAACATGAGCACAAAACGGATGCAGATATAAATGTTGTCCTGTGCAATGACCTGCATGGAGCACAAAGGAATATTGCCGTCTGCAAACAACAGAGCCGTGAGTCACAACAAAACACAGTCTGGCTGGTCTAACATCACTTCCCTCCGCCCCCCCTCCCACCTGGAAGATGCGGTCACAGTTCTGAGGAAGAGCTGCAGGGGAGTAGGTGGGGTCCATCTCTGTGAACTCGTCTGCGAAGTTGCTGACGTCCAGCTCATCCCGAATCACTGGCTTGAACGGCGCAGGCACCTTCTTAGCTGCCAAGTCCTCCCAGTTAATTTTCTAAAGTGAGTAAAGGAAGAAATTACACTGTGGTTCGTCCCAGTTTCTATTAACATGCTTTATAGAAATATACTCTCTCCAAATGGCCCCATAATGTATAGTAACATCCTATCTTGCCACTTAGGTTCTCTAAATATTGTAAGATACTCAAGACAAGCAATAAAATCCACCTGGTAAAACGGGTGTTTCTTTACATTCTCGGCTCCATTAGGACCGGAGCCTAATCTCTTCTTTGGATCTTTGATGAGGAGACGCTGGATTAGGTCTTTGGCCAGTGGTCCCATGTCTTTGGGGAAAGGAGGATCCTTTTTGGAAATCCTCCTGCGATGTGTGAGACAGATATGGTCAGTGGTGTAGAGGGGTTATAAGTGAAAGCTTGCTGAAAACTGCAGACGGACGATCGAGGACAATCCATACTTGGCAATGTCTGTGTGTGAGTTCTCGTCTCCGTCAACAGTGAAGGGGGATCCACCAGTCAAAAGCTCGTACATCAACACACCGAGGCTCCACCAGTCCACCGCCTGGAATGTACGAAGCAGAGCACCCACCCGTGACTTTGGCTTAATAGACTAAAAGAAAAACCTCACCGGAGAGTGTAACACATTCAGGAGCACCGAGAGGAGGGTCTGGACTGCTTGATTTGACCTAAAAGGCGACAGCGTAAAACATACAACTACAACCAACCTTGTCATGTCCAGACTCTCCTCCTTCCACTATTTCTGGAGCCATATATTCAATGGTGCCGCAGACAGAGAAAGCCCTTTCAACCTGCAGAAACATGCAAATCCATCAGTGGAAACAAACAGAGTATCTTGCACTTTGGCTACACTAAACATGTTGTTTTTGGGGTTTGGAGGTGTTATTATCATTTCATCTCAGCACAGCACTGTGATACTTTTTCCACAGAGTTTGTGTAATATGTGTAAGATAACCTCTTAAGACTACAGCAGTAAAAGTAAAGGATAATGTTAATAAGCAACCGTCCACTGGTACTGACAAAATAAATGCAAACAGGTTGATCAAGACCCCAAAGGGGAAGCCCTGTTTGAAACTAAGTCATTTCCTGTGTACCTGGATTTTAACTTGAAAAAAATATATATGCACTTTGTGACCCATTTTTGGGTGAAGGGCCGCGCACACCTCATGTAAAAAAATATAAATAGAAGAATGGCCTATTTTTACGTTTGCAGCACGGACCTCTTTAGCGCATATGCACCATTTATGTGCTGCACTCACGCCTGGTATAGGCAGCTTCATTGATTTTACTGAAAGCGTAGTGATGCAGCTGCCGCTCCACAAACGGTCTGCAAACATTACGTGTTCAGTGTAGCCACGGTGGAAGTCTTTGCATTGCAAGACGCCTCATAGATGTAAAATGCCTGCAGATGGCCACTACTATAGCCAAAGTGTGTGAGGTCAAGCCCCACGAAAAACATGGTTTCAAATCCTAGTGTATCCAACTCCACATAAAAATAGCCATCATTATAAATCCATAATTTGAAATTGAATTTTAGGAAAGATTTTGATGCATCATTTATTAGGAGTTTATCAGATTTGTATTAAAATGTTTATGTAAGAAACTCCTTTTAAAAGTTGTCCAATTGAGCTGCCCTCATCAAACCAGTCATATCAGAAAATACACATTTTTTCTAATGTTAAATTAACAAGCCCACTTTCATTTTGGTAGAAATAAAAAGTGTGTTCAAGTGGGATCCCAGTGTTCATAGTAAAAATGTGACTGCTCATTTAGTTTTCTGAGCGTATTTAAAGAAAAAATCTAAATGTCCTTTTGTGGTTCCTACTACCTGTAACCTATAATCAGAACACACTGTTCTAATTGTGAATTTAAAACTAGGTTTCCATCATCTACCTGAGAGTTTTCAAACACATTGTTGAAACAAACTGTACCTGATCAAATTCTTTACTAAGGCCGAAGTCTGTGAGAACTATATGACCGCTCGAGTCCAGTAGAATATTCTCAAGTTTTAGGTCCCGATAGACAATCCCAAGCTGCAACAAGAAAACAAACAAAACATGGGTTCAACTTAAAGTATGTGAGCAGACAGACTCTAAGACTTGATTGCATTAAACCTGGAGGTTACCTTGTGTAGATGTTCTAGTGCCAACACAATCTCTCCACTGTACAGGGCGACTTCTTGCTCTTTAAACCGCACCCTTTGCACCAAGTGTGTGAAGAGCTCCCCACCATTTACATAATCTATAATGAAAGATATCATACATCTTGTTTAATGCAGGATAATTAAAGCTGTTGTTTAATTCTTGACAACAGTAATTCATTCAGCTGGTTAAAATGTGCTTCCTTTACTGGGTGAAAGATAACAGAAGTGGAAATCTGCAGCAGCTCTTTAGCAAATGTACAAACCAAGAATGAGGTGCAGCTTGGTGTCCGTCTGGAAGGCATAGTGAAGTGTGACAAGAAACGGAGACTGGCGGATGTGCTCCAGCACTTGCCGCTCCGTCCGTGTGTGTTCGGCAGTCTTTGCCTTCTGTACAATAGTGGCCTTCTTTAAAACCTTCATGGCGTATAGCTTCCCCGCATCATGGCCACTCACTTTCCTCACCAGGAACACTTTGCCATATGCTGGTGGTTAAAATAAACAAAGAGCGAGAGCAAAGTTCAGCGCGGAGCAAAGGCGTAAACAGAAATGACTGGTATGCCGCGCTTATCATTCCAAAAACACACAATATTGGATGCCAGACTGGCATGCAGACTACCTTCTGAATGTCATGATCTGTTTCACAAGGAAACAGTTTACTCACCTCCTGTGCCGAGCACCTTCAACAGCTCAAAGTTCTCAATGCCCACCCTCTCTACGTGACCCGTCAGGTTGGCTGGAATCAGAGCAGGAATAAAAATAAGAATTAAAAAAAAAAGCTTTTTATCAATTTGTTCATGTGACAAGACAAAGCTGAGTTGAATGACAACACATCCTGTCAAAATAAAACAACAAATGGCCTTTAAAGTAATTCCACATTTAGTGTAAAGGTACATTTTTTACATGTCTACATAAAGTTTACTACTAGAATAGAATAGAATAGAACAGAATAGAACTTTATTGATCCCTTTGGTAGAAATTCAGGGAAATTGTTGAAATATAACCACAGATTTACCATCTGAGGCTTACCAGACATTTAAACTTATGTTTATGTTCACTACACCAACGAGCCTGCTGTTTGCAGTTGTGGTTGAACGCTGTATTTATAAATTTCTCACCTCGCCCGATGGGTGCTAAAATAGACCACTCACTGGAAAATTAGCATAAACTATGAGCACTTAATAGCAGCTTAATACTATGTGCTAAAACCAAGACATTAAACATCTAAAGAGGTGCACATTGTGGATACAGACTGTTATATAGAAGTCATTAAAAGAAACTACTTTTTCTATAGCCCGTCTTTATGGTATAGCTGTTCCTGTTGCTGACGGATAAAGGTGGAAAAATGCTTTGTTAACTAGCGAGCTAATGAGCAGGCATGCTGATAATATAGGCATGTGCTCGGAGGCAAAATCAGTACAGACATTCTCACTGTCTGTTCAATACTGTTTCAAAAGCCAAGCTGATATCTGAGATTAGATTAGTTGTTTTGCTGCCAAGAGATGTGCATCTTGCACGGCTACCAGAAGACACAAGCTGTACTAAGACTAAATGCTGGAGAAATTAGATTTAAAGTCGGGCATCGATAGTGTAAAAGAAGTTACTGCAACAGCTAATGGTGAGTTTGCTTCATAAAAGAAGTAAAAAGGAGCAAACACTACAGTAAAGACGTGCATAATTAGAAAACGTCTTTCATGTACACAATTTAAAACAAGCACTCTTGTCCCATAGTGTCTCCAAAACAACTTACTCTTCTTGACTGTCTCCCAAATATGCAACAGTACGAGATAATCCACCATGCAACTGCAAGCAAACTCGCTACATTAACCAGCAAAAGGTCATTATCTTCCATCAAAGATCTTCAGTGCATTCAGCGCACACTGTCACTGACTCCCCATGTCTTTCTAAATCCCGGTCTCCCAGTACAGCTGACTGAGCATAGCATGCTCTTAGACATGCATGTCCATTGTAGTGAACACATTCCTTCTGTCTCACACTCTGAAAATAGGCTACTGAGCAATTAAAGCGGCTGATTTCATCCTTTCCGTTGCCTCTCCTGTTACACACGAGAAGAAATGCTGCAACTACGAGGCAACTTTAATGCATGCAGTATCATTTCAAAACAACAACGCTGTCCTTTAGATTTGAGGTCAGAGATTCAGGTTGCATAACACCCTTGTCATGCTCCCCCTTGCCAAGGCCAAGTTTGATTTTGGTGTTTATTAATAGACTGACAGAGGTGTCTGACCAGATGATGTCTCTCTGCTAGACAAGAGGAGCCTCTTTAGTTTACAGTAGGAAAATGCCAATGGTTCTTACAAAAGTTTTCCTTGAATTGTGTATTTGGTCGGTTTCCTGAGTGACCAAAAATCTAATGAAAAAAAATAATTTAAACAGACCGTTTTTCATTGTAAACAGAGGACAGTCTGTGTTTTTATTGTGTTAACCATCAGCACAATCATGAGTAAGATCAGAAAAATATAGGTAATGTAACATTTTTCAATTCTGCATTTAAAAAAACCCTTAATATCTAGCAGGAATATTAGGACAGAATAGCAATCTTGTGTATTGATGCTGACAATAAATAAAAACTGGCCTCAACTACATTAGCTTAGTAGCAGGGCTGAACAATTAATCTATCTGAAATCAAAATCTCACCTTAAACATTGCAAGTAACAAACCACAAAGGCTGCAAACAGGATATAAGACTAATGCTGTAGTTAAAATGCATTTAAATTCAAAACAGATTGTAACTGTAAGAGGTTGCTTATGCTTGCTTTCTCCTGCATGCTGTGGTTTGACCAACATAAGCCCACTTTCATTCTTTACGAGCCTCGTTTTGTACATTCAGCAGCACATCTGACCCAGAATTTAAACTGTCATGCATGTATAGAATAGAATAGAACATCCTTGATTAGTCCCACAAGGGGAGATTTGCACCGTCACAGCAGCAAAGTGTCAGTAAGAAAAGCATGCAAACAAACAAAAAATCCCAGAAGAACACAAGGATACTAAGAATTTAAGAATATTATTTACATGAATGAACTGCATGTAGTTTTGCAAATTAATGCTGCGGTTTGATGGGGTCTCATGTGGTAGTATTTCATCACGTTTTAAATCTATGAAGCTTGACTTGAGAGAATTACATCTCAAAAGAAGAAAGAAATCGCAATTAAATATTTTCCAAATCTTTCAGTTGTTTGGAGAATCAGACCTTCTTTTTTTTTTTTTGCTTTTTATTTAGCTATATTGTCTCCACTGCTACAGCAAGGGTGCAAAGTAGGGGTAAGTGGATGCAGCAGCTAAAATGCTTTGTGTGAAATCTAATACCATGAAGAAGAAAAAAAAGAGTGCCATGCCAGTGACAACTAGACAGACTACATATTTAGGGCAGGGCAGTAAATCGGGGTGCAGCACAGTCATGTTGCAGCCTGAACAGCAGCACTGTGTCATTAGAAACCAGCTGCAACTGAGGCAAGTGTGCAACTTCATTCAGCAGCCTGCTGCACTAAATCACTCCACTCAACACAACCATCACTCAGTTAGAAATATGTGGTGATTCCAGCAATATTTCCTGTTGGGTCTTTGTTTTTCCTCAGATGATGCATGTCAACAGTAATTCACCCTGCACTGTCATTCAGGGAAATTATTCCACACACACACACACGCATACACACACACACACAGCCTCTACTTGACTCTGGGTAGTGTAAAGTCAACAAGGCTACCCAGGAGAGGAATATATTCAAGTGGCTGCCTGCCTGCCTAAGGCTACAGCTGATGCAAACCTCTGTATAAAATGCAGAATGACAAGCAGGCTAACGTTAGCGTTTGTGACTTGACATCACTGCAGCTGCGTCCGCTCCTCGTTGATTTAGGAGAAGTTAGCTGTGACCGCTAACAAATCCGGGCAACGACCACAAAATTTAAAAATAATAATAACTGCAAATCAACTCGTTGACACCGGCACAAACTTGGTGAAATCTCCCGTCGATGGTGTCATTTAACCCAGTTACAACTAGCTTAAGCTAATGTTATTATGTGGGGTTGGTAAGTAACGTTAGCAGTTAGCTCACGTTATGATTAGGTAACGTTAGTTTGCGTGAGTTAGCAGTGAACGTTACGAGTGATAACGAGCGCCGGACAACGTTAGCCTTCCTCTGCCATTTTTGAACTTGGGCAACGTTAATGTTAGCGCTTACTCCAAACGCCCATTGACAGTGATACTTGGGCTCCTCCAAGCTAGCGCAGCTAATAAATTCTTCCCCCCTTGACACGTGTCTCCAAAAGATAAATGCCAAATAAAATGTGCTGCCGTTAAGTTTCACCGGGTCACAGCTAACTTACCATTTTTCAGCTCATGTTTCACAGTAAACAGGTCACCTTCTCTGGAAGATCCCTCCATCGGGGATGGCATCGTAATGTCCCTGTTATGTTCAAAGATGCCTTTTTCAGACAAGGTTAGGTTCACCTACCGAGCTCGTTTGCAGTACCAACATGCATAAACTGAATATATATAACAAAAATAATTACACGCCTGTGAGTTCGGCGCCAAAGTTGACATATATATAGGCAGAATGTTGTTACTAAACCTGGCAGCAAGCAAGCCCAAAGGAAACACTTGCTTCTTCCAGCACACCACCACGACCACTACCTTCGCAACCAGGCAGTCCCTCTGCGCTGATTGGCGTTGCTATGTGAACTCCTGCCCGCTGATTGGCTGTTTTCGAGGTAGCGACACATGATCCCGCCTTCCTGAAAAGACTGGTGCTG